GAAGGTGTATGGTCACCCCTTCAGAAGAGCTTGAATTCAATTTAGAACAATAAATTTTTTTGAGCTGACTTCATTGAGGTTCTCACTAGAGCCATAATTATTACAAAAAATATGCACTTGTTCTCTGAAAAACACTATTTTATTTTTAATATAATATATATTTTTGTGATTTATGGGTTTTTTTCTGCAATACTGTATTGTATTCTGCAAGTATCGTAGGATGAAAGATGTCTGTGTGACATTTAGTTCTGAATAGTGGTTTGTTATTGGCTACTGCTCCATATATACAATCAACATCCTTAATTTTATTTCTTTTTATTATTACTTTTTATGAAAAAAAATTTCTCTTTTTTCAGTAGATATATACCACTTTATAGATTATATACTGTCTGCAAATACTGGATTAGACTTTTGGAATTTGATCACAAATGGTGTTTCTGAAAAGATCACAGTTCTGAAAAGCTTAAATGTTCCTTGCTTTCCACTCCGATGCTGAATTAAATACATGCTGTTGAGGAAAAATGAGTCAATATGGCTTCTGCTGATCTTCCAGGTCATTTGAGAAGATAAAAAATAAAATGTAAAAGTGATACCATGGGACTTATGAACAATCATGTTAGGTTAAAGACTGAGAAATAAGTGCAGGTATTGAGCATGTAATTTCCATAACCATATCAGTTCAGAAATGTGTTGGAAGAAAATGTCCTTGAAAAGTTCTAGAATTAAAGACATTCTCATTTCACAGGTAACTCATGAAATGGAAATTGAACAGATTTTGATAAAGCGACCATTTTTTCACCTTAATTCGCTGACATTAAAATCAGTCATGTTTTAGGATGGTTGCTTTTCTGTGAGAGGGTAGGGAATGACATGGAATTATTTATTATTAGCACTATCACAGTGTGTACATTCAGCTGCACAAACAGAAGAACGGAAAAACAGAAGAAAAAGACACACCCTTCTCTTCTGAGTTTTACAGAACTGTGTTCCTCTGCAGTGTTTTAGCTCTGTTCAGGAAAAGAAGGTAATTTTCATGCTTTTATACTTGCCAAGTGGAGCATAGCAGTATGAAGATGTATGTAAAATTTTAGTGCTATGAATGAAGGGCAGCTGAGAAAGCTGCCAGTACTGTTGGTTCCAGTTGAAATTTCTGAGACAATGACTAGTGAGGAGGAACACAGCCAATACAGGAAGACTGAAGCAGAACACAAACTTTAACCCAACCCAGCAGCAACATCTATTTTTCTGCATCAGTGTGCTTGTGGACACAATTCTCTCTTTCCTGCCTCTAATATTTGCAGCTCCTAGGTCTAAAGGAGGGCACTCTGCTTTCAGGCCTCCACATATGCTGTGTAATGCACTTTCAGCAAATTTGCAGATGGCACCAAGCTGTGTCATGCAGATGACCCACCAGAGGAAAGGGGTGCCTTCCAGAGGGACCTCGACAGACTCGAGTGCTGGTCCCATGTGAACCTCATCTCATGAAGTTCAACAAGGCCAAGTGCAAGGTCCTGCACCTGTTCAGGGCAATCCCAGACATACCTACAGGCTGAGTGGAGAGGTGATTGAGAGCAGCCCTGCAGAGAAAGACTTGGGGGTGATGGTTGATAAAAAACTCTACGTGAGCCAGCAATGTGCATTCCCAGCCCACAAAACCATCTGTGTCCTGGGCTGTATCAAGAGGAGTGTGGCCAGCAGGTGAAGGAGGTGATTCTCCTGTTCTACTCTGCTCTTGTGAGACCCTACCTGGACTACCAGGTACAGTCCTGGTGCTCCCAGCAGAAGAAGGGCATGGAACTCTTGGACCAAGTCCAGAGGAGGGCCATGAAGCTCATGACTGGAGCACTTCCCCTAAAAGACAGACTGAGATAGTTGGGGATGTTCAGCCTGGAGAAGAGAAGGTTGCACAGATACCTCATAGCAACCTTCCAATATCTGAGGGGGGCCTAAAGGGAAGCCAGAGATGGACACTTCATCAGCAACTGTAGTGACAGGACAGTGAGTAATGGGTACAAACTGAAAGAGGGGAAATTTAGGTTAGATATTAGGAAGAAATTGTAATTGTGATGGTGGTGAGACACTGAAACAGATTGCCCAGGGAGGGTGTGGATGCTTCAGCCCTGGCAGTGTTCAAGGCCAGGTTGGATAAGGCCTTGAGCAACCTGGTTTGGTGGGAGGTGTCCCAGCCCATATGGCAGGGACTGTTAGGATGAGATGGTCTTTAAGGGCCATTCCAACCCCTTAGCACTCTATGATTGTATGATTATATGGGCCTCTTTGCTTAGCATACTAAAGGGACATTTGGTTTTATCTTTTTCATGAAAATCTCTGTTTTGATCTGATCAGATGAATAATTCAGAAACAAAGGGCTCTGCTGAATGTCTAGTATGCCTGTACCTCAATGTGACAGAGCTTCCCACACATTTTCAAGTTCCATTACAGAGAAACTGAGCTGAGGAAACAGTACAAGGTTTGGAAATATTTTGAATGCCTATATAACTTTATATAAAAATTTTATTGTTCTTTTAATTTTAGTTCAAAGAAAGATGTACTTTTATGTTATTTACCATGTCATGCCTGGTATGTAAATTCAGGTTTCTTGCTGGAAAACTTGTTTTCCAAATGTAGCAGTTGGTGTTACTGTGTATTCATGTGAACTGAAAATCTTTGTAATTTAAAAACTGATTACGTTCTTTAAGAACTGAACATTTAGCAATGTAGTCACTGTCTAATGTATTAAAAACTTGTCACTTGAAAGGTCTGAAAACATTGATTTTGGCAGGAATTAAAATAGTTTGGGTCCTGTGCATCAGTAGTCACATCAGATCTTGCCCAATATGTTGTGCTGCATTTGGTTCTGAATTAGTAGTCTCACTTTTTTCATCTGGTGAACAATACATACTTCCTGTTGACTTCAGATAATTTACTATTTGTTCAAGTGTAAATTGGGAGGACACCAGACACAAGCTCTCCTTTCCACTACTCCTAACAGTCTCATCATTACACCAGTTTAGATCTGCCAAACCTTTCATCAGATGTAGAATGAACGGAAAGGTTACTTCTGTAGCATAATAATTAGTGCATTTACCATTTAGTGTAAATCGGTTCATCCATTTAGCAATGTTTATCTTGCTATAAACAGTGAACTCCCCTTCTCACACAGCTTACGTAAACAGCACGATGCAAAGAGGAACCAGGGCTTCAGACTGTGTCTAACTGTGTCTAGTCAGTACACAAGAGCCTGGGCTAGTCCAGGGACAGCTTCCATGGAAAGGCATAGTGGCTGAGAACCACAAGCACAACACACTCCAGAAAACTCTGTGAGTATCCTGGAGATGCCAACTGCTTCCTGTGACTCCATCGTGAGACAGTGATTCTCCTTCTACTTTGCTCCAAGGATACAATTGGGATGCAAGCATTAATACCTGTAAACATATAAAGGTCCTCAAATGCAAGATGTCATACAACTGCCAGGCCTCACAACAGTATGAAAGCAGCATCAGCAGGATTTATCTGAGTAGGAGAAAGAGGTTTACCAGCGCTGACACACCTAGAGAAGGAAGCGCATTAGGAACTGTGTGAAACCTTTGTACTGCAGCCCCAGGTACTGCTGCTCACAGCAGAATGGTAAGGCCTAGCTGGTGTGCAGCACTTGAAGGTATGTCAGAGTAGAAGGCCTTCTGTCCATTCACAGAGAGACTGTACATGGACTGTAAAATGTTTTAGGATGGCAGTGTTTTAGCTACACTATTGTTAAAGCACATGGAAATCATAGCAGTCAAAAGCTACTCTTTCTTGTCCTGCAGGTTTTTTTTTAATCAGAGTAGGTTGTGTTTGTTAAGAGGTGAACATTGTCAGGCTGCTTCTACTTTCTGCTCTGAAAACAGCTACTAATAGCACTAGCTTAGTGCACAAAGTGAACTGATTTGTGCAGTAGCTGAAATCCTGAAAGAGCTAGAATCCCATTTTCACAAAATGCTGGGATAAAACTAGCTCTTAAAAAAACTTCAAATAACTAAAGCAATAGAACATAATATTTCATTAAAAAAACCCAAAAACAAACAAAAAAACCCACCCCAAAAACAAACCAACAGAAAATGGTCTTTTATACCCTAGTGTCTCCAACAAGAAAACTGACATAAATAGCTTTTCTGGTATAAAAGCAACTACCTACAATATGTTGAAAACTCATAATCAAAAGGAAAAATAAATACTTCAAGTTTTCCATGTACCAGACAAACAGGATTCTTTTCAACTACAAGCTGACTGTGTCAAACTAAGGGGACCAGCTCCCTGAAGTGCTTTAAAGTAACAGTTACTGGAATGGCATAAACAAGTAGTAGAACCATGAGAAGTACATCACTGCACAAATGTTAACTGAGGTCATACCTTACAATACTTTCATTCATAAAGTTATCTAATATAAGCAAAAGTAGGTACCAAAATAATAGTCAGCAGAAGGAATTCCAACAGTTACAGTCACTTGTGTCATCTCAATTTTCCTTTTCATAAGAATCACTCCATCAAGCTGTTGACAAATCATACATCAAAGTTTATTAAGACAGAGGAAAAACAGGGGTATCTGATTTTACACTCAAGTAATTGACAAATGCAAGTCTTTAACAATAAAGCTTCTATCAGAACCCAGGAAACAAAGCCATTATGCTGTGCAAACACCTTTCAGTGAAGTACATACAGCTTTGGGCAAATAATATAATGTCTCACATCCCTATTGCCTGAGGATAATTAACTCAATTTTGTTACAATTTTGTTCTCCTGCAGAGAAAAACTGTAGCCCAATTCTGTGAAACTATTGCCATGGATGTTTTCTAAGGTAGAGATAAAGGAGTCCATGAAAATCTGCTTGTGTTAAAATGTATTCTACTGAAAGAGCAATACCTAATATTTTACTGAAAAAATGGTATTTTTTAACTTTGGGAACTGTAAAGTGAGTTGAGTAGCAATTTTGTGGGGGGTTTTATGGGGTATTTTGGTTTTTTGTTTTTTTTTTTCTTTTTTTTTTAGCTAAGATGGAACACCAAAGATCACACCTCAATCTGTGCTTGCACCCATCCAGCTGAATTATCACAAACAGGATCATTTACTGCTGCTAGGCAGCTTTCAAAGGTGATACTTCTGTCTGAAGGTCCTCTTAGGGCTGTACATTTCATTTCTACATAGTAATTGTGCATTCTGTCCCTTTCTTCCAAAAACGGCATGCAGAAATCGTGATCTGGAGAACATGATCTGCCACCCAATTACTTACATAAGACCTGCCCATAGCCATTGCTTTGTGCTCCACTGAACAGAGGCACAGAGGAAGTAGAAGAATACAAAAATCAAAACACATAACTCTGAAAGATAAAAGCCAAGATTTCTAGCAGAGAGTGGCAGTGTCCACAGCACAAGATCAGAAGGAAATTCTTTCAGCTGTGGAGAGCTCATCCTCCTGTGCTCCTTATTCTGCTGCTGCTACAGAGTGTGCTCTTGGCTCAAGCTGGAACACCCCGAAAAGTCAGAGAGACTTGTGTCAGACATTCTTGGCTGAGCCATTTCACCTTTGGTACTTACAGAAACAGACACATTACTGTCTTTCAACCATACACCACATAATCTGACTGAACATGAATGCAATAAGACTATTTACATCTCCCATTTTGCACCAGGATTTTTTACTTTGGTTTGGGTCCCAATCTTTTGTGGAAGTCATATGTATCAGTTAGAGAAGCCTAAGTGTTTAGCTAGCAACATAGGTTTGTCACAAGGAATCCACAAGAACAATGGACTAATTGATTAAACCCAGAATTTTATCAAGTTCTTTCTACATTGTAAAAAAAACATATGCACAATGGTCTTGTTAGAGTTTTAATAAACTTCTAATGCAGAAATACACAGAATTCCTCATCAAAATAATTAAGTCTTCAGTTTTGGAGAAAAAAGTGCAAACACCAAATGAACTAAGCCTTAAACCTGGTTTGCCTAGAAAAAAGCTGAGTACAAAAATAAACAAGAGACCAAGTCCATATTCCTAATCTGATTTACATAGCCTTACATGTACTTTTCTGTGAAATACATGTTAAGTAAAAATGGTGATCTTGTTCTTAGGTGTATCTACTTGATAATAAGAATACAGGCTACAGGAGTGGCATATTCTAAAATAAAAATACTCTAAAAATATTCTAAAAGGAAAAAAAAAAGCCTTTCATGTTTCCTTAGTTCTCTTAAGTCCCATCCATGTGACAGCAGAAGTGAGCTGTTAGGTGTTAACTGTCACTACAGAGAATGTGAGCGTGAGCACACAAGTTAGAGCAGTCTGCTCGCTAGCTATCTGGTTAGGACAAATTTCAAAACTCCTGTCATCTTGACTGGAAGATTAATAGCTGCTTCCTCCTGATTTAATATTGAAACCAAAATTATGGAACTTGTTGAGGGCCTCCCTCACATGCTAAATTTATAAACTCTTACTGTGAGCCTCTCTGTAGTTTTACTTCCCCATTCAAATAGTTTTTACCCTTCTCTAAGGCAATAGTTAATCATAAACGATTTAAAATTATCTTTTTGTAATGAGAACAGATCATACAAATCACTTCTACTAGTACAGCCTTGTACTGTCTTCACTCTGTTGTACTGAACAGTAAGAGGGGTTTGCAGAAATATCTACTACATTTTTTTTGAAAGTTTTCCAGAACCAAAGCTCAGTCACACCCAACCCCAAGTTGTGTTCAGAAATTCACTTCATCCAAGCATTTTCTTGAAGTCACTGCTGCCCATTCCTTCTCCTTGCATACAAGCCAAGGCAGGCGCAGAATCCGACCACACTGACAGCGAGGCCGAGCAGGAAGGCAATGGTATCTCCTGCGTCCAGGGCTTCCACTACGGGCAGCACCAGCAGCAGCGACACGAGGACCAGCAAAAGTTTGGAGGTGTTCTCGGTTGAAGGCATGCTGACAAGCAGCTGACCCCAAGGGGAAGTTAAATGAAGAAAGTGGTGGACAGCAGGTACTTCACTGGTATCTACAAGGAAAACAAAAGGAATGTTACATGATTTTCCTTCCTCCTCCCCTGGATTTGTCTCGCCAAAAGCCAACTGATTGATGCATTACAGGTACCTGTGTGGAGCTCATGAAATTTAGGTTTTATCTTCCCAATTACCAAAGTAAATTACTTATTATCATGAGACAGCCACAGTGGATTTACTATCTTGTTATGTAACTCTGTGGAAACTAATCTTTTGAAGACTTACCGAGAGGTAAAGTCAGAACAGGCTCTCCTGCCTGCAGCTACCAGAGCCTGCTTACCCGGTGCGTTGCTACGCGGGCCTGTTCCACCAGGTGTTCAGGGCCTGATGGCTGCTGCACATCACTCCCCCACACTTCCTAACACCGGCCATCCTCGGGATCCATGAGCATGGCCAGACTGCGGTACATCGGGGAGGCCGTGAATTTAACCTCCGGGGCAGTGCCACCGCGCTCACCCTCACTGCGGGACAAACGTCTACAACTTGGAGAGGCGCTCCCAAGGAGAGCGCCGGGACCAGCCCGGACCGCCCTCTCCGCAACAGTTCTTCCCGCGGGGATGGCTCGTTCGCGGGGTGCACAGGACAAAAACCCGCGCTGGGACACCCGAATAAGCGGCTGCCCCGCTCGCACTCCGGCGGAGCCAGTGCCGGACCCCGCCAGCCCCGGGGCGCCCGCCGTTCCCGTCCCGCCGCCGCGGGGCTGGGGGGCGGCCGCTCCCTGGGCAGCCCCCGGCAGGCCGTGCCCGCACGGTGCCCCTCAGTCACCTCCTGCCGCCGGCTCCGGCCTGGGGCCGTCCCCGCTCCGCGCCGCCCGCGGGGCGCTCAGCAGCCGAAGGCGCCGGCCCGCGCCGCCCCGCCGCGCTGCCACTGCCCGGCCGCGGCCATGACAGGAAGGGGCGGTGGCGCGGCCGGGGGCGGGCGTGACCCGGCCGGGCCATCTCCGCTCCGCTCCGCTCCCGCTGCGGCGCCCGCCCGCTGTGCCCCGCCGCGATTCCCGGGGGCGGCTCGGGGGCACAGCCGCCCCCAGCAGCCCGGGCGGCCCCAGGCCCCGCCGGTGGCCCCGGGAGCGGTGCTCGCCAGGCCGGCCTGGGCCTGGAGGGATGCGGCGGGGCCGGGCGCCGCCCGAGAGCCCCGGCCGGGGGTGCTGCTCCCCAGGGCGGCTCCCAGCCGGAGCCCCGAAGTGCCCGAGGTGCGATAAACGAGACTGTGAGAATGTCACCTGGGAGCAGCGGCCACCTGCCCTCGCTGCGGCTCCATTGACCTGGAAGGATAGAAACACACCGATTTGGGTTGTCTGATCCTTTTCCTACAAATAACAGAGTAGAAGAAGTCACCATGAGTTTGCATCATTTCAGATTTAGGCCCTTGTGATAACAGTCCTAGTATGTGCCATCATAACCAATTCCTACTCTGAGGAAAGCAGTTGAAGCAGTTTTATACGGTGGAGAGCAGCCTGTGCCCTTGTAAAACAAACAAACAAAAAACCTAAGGGAAGTGTTGAGAGGTAATTAAGTGAGAGCACTCCCCAAGATCTTAGCTTGTCCCAATTTTTATCTTATTTATCCTTTGGATAAGGCTGCTTGTAGAAATTGTGTATTAGGCTGTTTTGTTGCACCAGGTAGTTCCTAAGCAGAGCCCAGTCTTATTTTTCAGTGGCAAAGGTTTGTGCCTAAGTTTAGATAAAAGACCAGTGAGCAATTATTATAAGTTCCTAGTATGTCTCTTTGGAGTGCTCAGAGAAATAACCCAAAGAAACTGTGCTAATTTAATGTCAAAATCAGTATAGAATTTGTAATTCATTACGACAAGCCTTAACTCATGACTGAGAACCCATGTCCTCACAATGTTCCCTATGACTTCTCTAAAAAAAGCAACTTTTATAAACATTTCTCTTGAGCAAAACAGTTTCTGGTGACCTTCTTTAAAGAGAAATGGAGACCTAGATAGGGCATTCAACATACATACAGCTTTGCCTCTGCCTTATGAAATTTCACTGTAATTGCTTTTGAGCAGCCATTCCTCATGGCTATAGGAACTTCACACATCTGAGGTGGGATGTTACTATTGTGCCAATGATAATTCTTTTATTAATGCCCTTCTTTTCCTTATCAGTCAGGATCCATCAGCTATCAATTGTCATAAACAATAAATTTCCAGGGATAAAAACATCTTTTTGCTCCTTTATTCCAAGTACTATGAAAGCATCATCTTTCTGAGCAGCAGTGCCTAGACTCTGATAATGCAAATAATAATGAATATCAGTATAACTCATAACAATCTTTTTTATTAATTAAATGCCTATTTCACAGTTTTTCAGTTCTTAAATACTTGATTCTTCATGTTCATTTCTGAAGGCATTTTCTCAATAAGCTGATGCCCAATAAACTCATGGGAGAAAAATCTGGAAATTTCTGGGAATATTATAGAGAGGAGTAAGACCATGGTGCCTAGCCCATTCCCTAATCAGTCACAAATAAATCATAACCCCCAAAGAACCTGAAGAATGCAATTGAAGTGGAGGATGTGTCAAGTCAATCACTGCTGTCACCCCAGAAGAGTGGGCCTTGGAGTCCTGGCCCTCTTAGTTCCTTGCTTAGTCTATTTACTGCATCCTGCACTGGTGACAAGTGAATATGACACTGTTCTGCAATGTCAAAAAATGTTGAATTCATCCCTCTAAATTCCAGTGCTGTATTTGTTGTCGCCACCACTTACCAACTAAAATTTTCAGTAGTTGTCATTTAGTCCCACAGAACACTCACAGAGGGATTGAGCAATGACTTTCAAGTCTACCTTTTGTAACTAGAAATGTCAGTACCTAAAAGCTGTGGCATTTTTGGAGCTAACTATTTTGAAAGTGAGGAGTGCAAAATCCAAGAGAAAGACTGGGCTTAGCACACTCCTCTTAGTATCTCAAGAACTGAACACATTCACAGGCATGAAATGACACAAAGTACAGCATGCATGTAGAAAATATTGATTGTAAGATATATCATTTATTAGTAACATGGAAGTGCCATTGAGAGCTAGAAAACAGTGCCATTTGGGGATACCTCTTTGGCTTATTAGCTCTTTCAATGCCATTGCATTTTGTAGCTTTGGCTTCAGAAACAGTGCTTCTTTGGAAAGAAGCCAACAAAATCCAAACAGTCAAGGAGGCTCTGTTGGTTTTTGTGCTGTCGGAATAGCAGAGAAATGTGTATTCAGCTTCAAGCTCTGCCATCAACTTCCTACATCACCTCAGGCAAATCTTCCTTTTGACCTATCACTGCTTTGATTGCTTTGCTCAAGCTATTATGTAACTAATATTCAGAGGAAAGTCAGAGAATTCCCAGAGCTGACAAGCTAAAGCTTTGTAAATTTTGAGCACAAGGCTAAGGAGGTAGGTATATTGTGAGACTGAAAATTGAAAATAAAGTGTACTTTCTGGAGCGGAAAAAGTTATAATCAGCTACACCCTGAAGGGGGTATTTGTGGGGTTTTTGGGTTGGTTTTTTTCTTCCTCATTTTTGGTTCATCTAGTTTTTTGAGAGACATTTGTTTATTGCACGACCACGCTGACCTGATGTCATACTTTCACCCCACAAGCCCCACATGGCCAGTGGCTCCCTGCCCCACCAGCAGGCTTGAGAGAGAGAATCAGAAGGGTAAAAGCCAGAAAACTCATGGGTTGAGATAAAGACAATTTAATAGGGAACGCAAAAGCTGCACCAGACAAAGCAAAACAAGGAGTTAATTCACTGCTTCCCACGGGCAGGCAGGTGTTCAGCCATCCCCAGGAGAGCAGACCCCTTCACACATAACACTTGCTTGGTGCACTGGGATTGCATGGCCAAGCTTTGGTAGCAGGGGGCCTACAGGGATGGTTCTGTGGGAAGCTGCTAGAGGGAGTGATAGAGTGGCTTGGGGGGGCATCTGACACCCAGCCAAGCTCAACCCGCTACACTTGGCAAGACAAATGCCATCACTCCAACATGTCATCTCCCTCCTCCTTCTCCCCCCCTTTATGAACTGAGCATGATGGCATATGGTCTGGAATGTCCCCTCGGTCAGTTGGGGTCACCTGCTCTGGCTGTGTCACCTCCCAAACCCCCATGGACGCTGAGCCCCCTGGCCAGTGTGGCAGTACAAAAAGCAGAGGAGGCCTTGGCTCTGTGTAAGCCCTGCTCAGAAACAACAAACACATCCCTACATTATCAGCACTGTGTAAAGCACAAATCCAAAACACAGCCCCATACCAGCCACTGTGAAGAAAATTAACTCTACTCTGGCTGAAATGAGCATGTCTGAAAAGCTTCCCGAATAATTTTTGGACGTCAGTTGCACTGCTGTAATGAAAAAGGCTAACTCTGGTTATAGATAAGATGCTGACTATGGGGCAGTGATTATCACTTCTGCATGCACATGTCCACCCTTGAGCTACTTTTCTCTGATGATACTTAATCTGACATTTTAGCTGACTATCACTATGTCCTCATCTTTTCACTTCAGTCATAGATCTACATCCAGTTTTTCTACTAAAAAAACATTACTTTCTTCATTTGGACTTCAGAGTGTCTTTCTCCTTCTTTGAACAAATAGGCTCTACTGCAACCACCTCATTTTCTTCTACAGAAAAAAATCCAAAGTTTAAATACAGAATTAATTACTTCTATCATTAACCTTTTCCATATTTGCTTCTTAGTCTGCTGTCACACAGATGTTGATTTCATTTTTTTCTCTTACTTCCTCTCTTATTGTCCCTTGCCATCCTATCCTGCGTGTCTACTTCATCCTGCCTTTTTTCCTTTCTATTTCTCAAAGTCCTTAAGTTTCCTCTCAAATAAAGGTAGATAGTCACAAATCATCCCTGTCATAAAAACACCCACTGGAGTCCCTTCCTATAATTTAATCTGTTTTATTCCTGTCATCTCTAACCTCTCCAAACATGCTGTTCAGAACTTCCCTAATCCTGCATCTCCTTCAGTATGGCTCAATCCTTCCTCCATCAGCTGGATATCACATGAATATCTCCACTTCCCAACTTAGCCATAAAGGCCTGTGTTTCATCATTGGCTCTGACTGATGTGTTGCTTTAGAAACTCCCATTCCTCTTTCCAAATCCAGCAAACACTTAAAAAACCCCCAATGCACATCCAAAAAAAAGTCCTTTCCCATTTCTTCTTTTGTTTTTTTAATCTTTAGTGCTGGCTCCTCTTTCTTCTGCTGCTGGGGATGTGCTAGGCTTCCATCTGTGTTTTTTTCAGTTTTTGACTGTCTAAAGATTGTGCCCTGGATGCTCCTATTGACAAATAGTTTTGAATATCATCCATGACTCATGTTTTCATCTTCTCTGTCTTTTTATTCCCACTCGTTTGTGTTGAAGTTT